AAGAACGACAAATTGCATATTGATAGTGACATATTCTGGTGAAAGTGTAACAGTTAAACAAACTTAAATATTTACTTTGGGTAGCAATAACTGAGTGATATTGAGCGATATTTGTTTGTATTGAATCATAGAGATTGATATTGGCTAGTAATATTTTGGTATTAATATTTAAGAGATTCTGATTATTAGAAATAAATTAATAACTTACTGTCAAATTAAGAATTAAATAACAGACATTAGTAGATAATTGATAGCTTATATTAATTTGAGTAAGGATAGAAAATCATTTTAACCATTAATTGGGGAAATCAGAAACTCTTTAACTATTCATAAAATTGATGGTAATTTGGGATAGTATATATAGGTAATAGATAATAGATAAACAATCTAAAACTATCAAAGATATGACAAGTATTACTACCACTAAGACCGGGAAAAAACCTGCACCAACGGTGGCATTATCCAGTCCAGCAGCCTCTACTCAACGAACAATTGAAGGAATGTTGGCTCCTGAGAAATCAACTACCACAACTAGCGCTCAATCAGTCCAAGCATGCTTATTAGCAATCCAAGGTACGATTTTAATGTTATAAGAATCTATGTCCAAAAATCACATTGAAAGCAGAGCAGACTGGGAATCAATAAAAACTGAATTGAAAACATAAATAGGGGAAATGAAAACTGGAATTAGGAATCTGGACAAGAAAATAGGTCTGATCCAGGAATCAATTGAAAAGAATGAAGGAAAAATCAAGATAATTGAACAACAATCCAACCAAAATCAGAAGAAAAAAATCACGGGCCACAACAAAGAAACTGAAGAGGCCTTAATCCACCTCAATGGATAGAGCCTCTTACTACTTAAGATTCCAAAATGTAGAGGAAGTTAAGGAGGAGGACTTAACATCGGTGATGGCCGAACTCTTAGCGGAATTTCTCCAAAGAGACAAGAATGAGATGATAAGTGAAATAGATGATATCTACAGAATTTATACTAGTTATGTGAGACAGCATAGACTTCCTCGGGAGGTCCACATCAGATTTGCCAGGAGGAAAGTCAGAGACATAATCTACAAGATTTCAAGGGAGAAGATAATAAAATATAAAGACAGAGAAATAATTGTACTGAAACAAATCCCAAGAAGAGTCCGGGAACAGAGGAAGGACTATCAGTTCCTCACAAACTATTTAAATAAAAAAAAATTATCCAATTTAAATGGATTATCCCAGAAGGTATTTTGACATCCTGGAATGAAAAAAGACTGAAAATTGATAAGTTAATTAAAGCACAAGATTTCTTTGAACAGTTAGGTGGATCGGAAGAGGAAACTAGTAGTAAAGACAAATTGGAAACGCCAAATCAAGAAGAAGTACTTTGATATATAGTTTGATGTTATCTCTTACCTGTGCCAACGAAGTGAGAAGTCCAAGTTTCCAAAGGAACAAGCAGACAAGACCAGTAATGACAGGGTTAAATTCCTTTGGCCAGGCAAGTCCTTGGCAGTCTCACACAAGCTGTCTGCCAAGTCCGATAATAAAGCAAGAACATAAATCACAGGCTAACGCCACACACACAGAATCCGTCGGAGCTGCTCTCACAAATTAACACGTTGTCCCAAACAAGAATCCAGAACTAACACACCCACTTTTATTCTCTGTGGGGCGTGTCAGTCCCTCATCTCAGTCTCTAATTCATCCTTTCCTTTTATGTTGCAACTTACACTTTTGCCTGCGCTGTTGCCTCGCATCAAGCCAGCATTCCTCGGCTTGATCCTCAGTCAGAGGCTCTGATACGTTCTCCTGATTATCTGCCGACACCTGAGGCACAATCGGGGGGAAGATCCTGCCGAGGAGGAAAGTCCTGGGGAGGAAGGCAATTCCAAATCCTCTAACAAAGCAGGCTCAAACCTCAGAGCCAAATCCTCCCCTTCCTCACCGTCCAAGTCTGTGTCCTCTAGCAAAGCAGGCTCAAACCTCAGAGCCAAATCCTCCTCTTCCTCATTTACCAAGTTCTCGACCTCTGACAAAGCAGCCTCAAACCTCCAAGCCACAATACTATCCCTCACCGCAGGGCCCTTCCCCCAAGTCTGACGATCCGGACGCGGTTCATGGAATCTCCGGATAAGGTCCGGGGTGTGGACTGTGGAAGCATCCACCCAGGAAAGAACCTCCGGTCCATCTCCTAGCCTCTCGATGAAGTATTGAAACTGTCCTTTCAGCCAGCGAGAATCCCGAATGCTGACGAATGAGTCGTCAGCAGCGGGATCATCGCCGGGTACAGATGGAGGAACCGTAGCAGCGGGAGAACGGAGAGCACACGAAGGGATGTCAGGAACCAAAAGGGAATGGTGGAAGACAGGATGAATGCTCATGGAGCGCGGTAGGGTGAGCCGATAAGCAACGGGATTGATGACCGCCTCGATAGGGAAGGGACCGATGAAACAATGGTCCAACTTCTTTTAAAACAAGTTTTATTAATTTTTAAAACACACAAATTATCATTATTCATTACATGTTTAAACCTTTTTTCATTGTAAATTTAACAAGTCAGATAAATTATGATTCTGTTTTAAACCATTTCCATATAACATACAAAAACCTCTTATTCAATTTCCCTTTACTTCTCTTTACTCTTATTCAATATCATTATTATTATTTCATCTATTTCTTTCTGACTTAGTTACCATTATTCTCATTCTATATTTCTGCAAGCTTTTACTAATTCTCCCCCCCCAAAAAAACATATACACACAACACACAAAACATAAAAAAAATCTTTTTGGAAAGTAACTTGGACCCAGGTATCTCTCTCTTCATGGACTTCAATTATCTTCATGCTCATCTTACATATCATTACTTATTTTATTTACCATTCTAAGTCTTCTATATTAACTTCTCCACATATTTCACTCTTCTTAATTCTATCTTAATTAATCATCTTAGTTTGAATCATTATATTTGTATCTTTTGTCCATTTTTTATCATCCCTTTGGTCTCATTCCTTATAAAAAAGAAGAAAATAAGTTTCTCCTGAAATCATTAATCAGAGTATGATGCCTTTCTATCTCCCCCCTAAATTAATCAAATTAACCTTTAAGATAACATCCAATACCCAATCCGATTTTGCTTGGTACATTCTATCTAACTAGTACATCCAAAATAATTAAATACATAATTAGACAATAAATCCAAATATTAAAAACAAATACTATAATAAAAATTTTATAATAACATCAATACCATAATCTTATTAAACTCTTTAATTAAAACAGTATTCTAACCTCCCCTATTATTAAATTTTAAAGCCAGTCATTATTAAACATTTTAACATTTTAATCTCTTATCCACTCTTAAACCATTACAATACTACTATCTCATCTTATGTACCTTGCAAAATCTTTTTGAAAAAATTATACTTTATCCATTATCCATAAAAAATTCCTTTTTTTCATTTAATTTCAAAACATTGTAGCTTTTCTCCACCTTTTCCCTTTCTTTCTTCTCCCAACAAACCTTTCTACCCCCCCTTCTTCTAGCCTCTGCCTTACTGGCTTCCCTTCTCTGTCGTGTTCCTTTTCCCTTTTGTTTACTATCATCATATTGATTTTGCACCTTATTTTTCCCTTTCTTAAATGTTTTTTTAGATCTTAAGTCCTTTAGTTCTCTTCTTTTCTCTCTTCCTTCTTTCTTGATCAAATTCTGAGATTCATTAAAAATGGCTCCTTCTTTTCTTTCTTGTTCCTCTGCTGTCTTCATCTGTTGTAATGTTTGTTGATAGTTAGCAAGCGCCATTTCTAAAAAAAGGAAAGCTTCTTCCACACCATCTTTACCATTTTTTTTGCTTGTTCATATTCTTTTCTTAGTTCCTCAACAGAAAAAGCCATTATAAATCTTTTCTTTTCTTTTCCCCTTCTTTCTTCTTACAACAACCAGAATATTCCAAAGAAAATAAAAAAAATAAAGCAGTCCCAAAGTTATCAGTCAGTCCAAACCAAGGCAGAGTTCTCACTTTCTCCTTCTGGGGTAATATCAATCAAAGAGAAAGAAAGTCCAAATCTGTTTAAAATCTTATTTGCAATATATTCTAGTCTTCAAATCCTTAAGGCATCTCCTCCAACAAAGTCTTAGCATACAAATATTTTCTTTTTAATCCTCTCTCTTCCCACTCATCGCTTAAAACCAATTTTCACCTAAAAAAAATAGGTTTCTTAATATCCAGTTATTTATTCCGTAGGAAAAGAGGGTAAGCTATCCTTTCAGCACCATCAAACTGCCGCTTTTTTCCTCTTCTGGCAGGTATTATTCAGAAAGTCATACTTTTCAGGAATTTTATTAAATATGTCTTAGAGTCCTAGGAGCCAAGAAAAACTTTCTCCTTTCAAGCACTTTCTCCACTTCCTCCTGCGCATTCTTACCCGGCTGCCAGCTTCTTTGTGGCGGCCATTACGGACCGCCGCTGCACCGTCCTGGGAAAAGGAAGTTCTACCGGCCAGGGAGGGGGTCTGCAACACCCCCAAACCCCTCTCCGGATCCCCCCTACCTTCAGCTGCCCCTGCAGGGCAGCCTAGCTCCGTACCCGTCTGGGTCGGAGCCCCAAAAGCGGCTAGCGCGGCAGGGATCGCGCAGCTTCGCAAATCCCTGCCGCTCGCGAAGCCGACAAACCGGAAACTCAATGGTCCAACTTCTTAATCGGATGATCGACTCGTAGATGCTTTGTGGATAACCACACCCTGTCTCCCAAGGCCAGCGGGGGCGTCGCCCGGCACGAACGATCTGCGAACCTTTTATAGTCTTCCTTAGCCCGTTCTAATTGCCGTGAAATCAATTGGTGAACTGAATGCAGTTCCGACAAAAAGTCCCGCATCTCGGGAACTGGGGAATCCAAGATCGACAATGGGAAAAACCTCGGATGGTAACCCACATTCACGTAAAATGGTGTCATGTGAGTGGAGGTGTGCTGGGAGTTGTTGAAGGCAAACTCTGCCAGAGGGATATAAGTCACCCAATCGTTCTGTCAGTGGTTAACAAAACATCGCAAATATTGGGCGAGGATGCCAATCACCTTCTCCGTCCCACCTTCAGTCTCCGGATGGTGCGCCAACGACAAGCACACCTGCACCTGTAACGCGGTCATTAGGCTCTTCCAGAATTGAGCGGTAAACTGGACACTGCGATCCGAAACTACCTTGTCCGACACATGCTGCAAAAATAACTGGGCAGTAGTACGAGCCGATGGTAACTTCCGACAGGGGATAAAGTGGGCCATCTTGGTTAACATGTTCAACCACCACGAGCACCATCGTATATCCGACAAAGAGGGCAAATGTGTTAAGAAGTCCATGGAAATTGCCCCCCATGCTCTGTCCGGAGTCGGCAGTGGTTGAAGGAGACCAGGAGGCGCACCCATCGCAGCTTTCGCTTGCCGGCACGGTACACAGGATGCGACGTAGGCATAGACATCATGCCAGACTCGAGGCCACCAAAAAGTCCGTGTGACCAGATGAAGGGTCTTAAAAAATCCAAAATGGCCGGCAGCAGGGTTGTTGTGACATTGAGTCATGATGAGGGCTCTAAGTGTCCTCGTGGGCATGTACAACCGGCCCCGATGTCGTAATAAGCCCTCCTCCAAAGTTCATGGGGAGTCAGGTCCAATTTCCCCTATTCTCTGCTGCGACCAAGCATCTAAGCGCTGCGCCTCTCGTATCCGAGTCCGCAAATCCACCAGTTCCTGGATAACGGCCAAAGATTCTGGTGGCAGCACCATACGTGGAGGAAGAGGGTCCTCGGGACAAAGGTACTCAGGTTTACGGGACAGGGCATCTGCTCTCCGATTTTGACTACTGGGGATATAAATCACAAAAAAGTTGAACCGGGCAAAGAACAACGACCACCGAATCTGTTGCTGGTTCAACTTCCTCGCAGTGGACAAGTGCTCCAAATTACGATGATCCGTCCGAACCTTCACCTTGTGCCAGGCCCCCTCAAGATGATGTCGCCAGGTCTCAAACGCAGCCTTGATAGCCAGCAACTCTTTTTCCCAGATAGTATAGTTGAGCTCGGAAGGAGTGAGTTTCTGAGAATAGTAAGCGCAGGGAAAAAGAGGGGCGCCATCCACTGGGGCTTGCAACAACACAGCCCCAATAGCCACGTTGGACGCATCCGTCTCCACCACAAACGGACGATGTGGATCAGGATGCCTCAGGATAGGTTCTGCGATGAAGGCCTTCTTGAGAGCCTCAAAGGCCTGTTGCTATGGGGGCCCCCACTGGAATGGGACCTTCTTTCTAAGGAGCTGAGTGATGGAATCCGTCAGCTTGGCAAAACCCGGGATGAAGGTCCGATAATAATTAGCGAACCCCAAGAGACGTTGAACGTCTTTCACTCGACGAGGGGGTTCCCAACTACACAAAGCCTCCACTTTACACTCGGGAACGAAATGGCGTTCTGCGCCCATGCCACCCGAGGATCGTGTAACCGTAACCAGGCCATTCCGGGGACCAAGAGGAGATGGAGGTCAGCAGTGATGTAAAAACTAATCGCCTCCTCATGGTCCCCAATAACCAGGGGCAACGGCTGGGTCGCAAAACGAATGGGTCCCCCACGAAGTTCCCGCCCATCAATCGTTTCCACCTTGATTGGAGGCTCCACCACAACCAAGGGGACGTCAAAATGAGTTGCAAAGGCCTGGTCCATGAAACTGGTCGTAGCCCCCGAGTCCACCAACGCAACTGCAGGAATCCCCTCCAACCAGGACAGCAACAAAACCTGAGTGTCTAGAAGTAAATGGCGAGGGGGTCCAGAGTCCACCCCCGCTACTTGTGGCGGTTGGTTGATACATGCCCAACCTAGGGTTTTCCCGAGGCCGGGACTGCCCCGTTTCCCAACTGATCAAGTTTCAATTCGGGCACTGGCTTGCGTGCCCCCCGTCATTTAACAGAACAGGAATTTGCAAAATGTCCAGGCTCCCCACAATATAGGCATAAGCCTCCCTGGAGTCTCCGTGTGCGTTCTTGGGCCGTCAAACGAGGTCAGATTGCACCCAACTCCATCGGCTCCTCGGCCCTGGCCACGGCACTGTGGGAGACCTGGGGCGCTGGTTGTACAGGATGCTGTGGCCTTGAGGTGGATGGCTGCTCCGGAATGGGATGTCGAGTCTTACACCGTTGAAGTCGGGCGTCAATGCATAAGCATTGCACCACCAGAACGTCGAGGGTCGGGGCCGGCTCCACGTGAACCAACTCGTCCTGTATGTCCTCCGACAGGCCAACTAAAAAGGGAGCTACAATCTGATCCATGGTTTGGGGCCCACAGGGGGAAGCTGACATTGAGAAGGGCCAGCATGGAAGGGGGACAAACTATGTCCCTAGTGTCCTGTGAGTCCACGTCCTGCAGCAGAATCATGACACCAAGCAAGCTGGCCACTTTGGATTGTTAAAAACACTACATTTAGTTAAAACACAGTTTTAGTGGCCAAGGGTAAAGGAGAACATAGAAAGCTATGTGAAAAGTTGTGCAGTGTGTGCCGCAATGAAAACAAGACCTGGGAAGAGACCAGGATTGTTGCAACAAGTGACGGAGCTGACCCAGCCTTGGGAGGAAATAGTGATAGACTTTATAATTGAACTTCCAGAAAGCGTGAGAAACACTGTGATTTGGATGGTGATAGATTATTATTATTATTATTATTATTATTATTATTATTATTATTATTATTACATTAAAACATTGGACACAGTGTAACTGCCCTGGTGTCATCTTTGCCTTACATACTAAAATATACTATAGTTATCATATGTACATTGTTACCTTTATACAATTGGTCAATACGGTATATACAGACATCATAATCTCATCAATATTGATTTTTAACTTTCGTCTTATCCGATTATATTCTGTTGTGATTACATACATAACTTCAATTCTCCATTCTATAAATCCTGGTTATTATTTTTTTCTGGGTCTTTCCTCTCAGTTACAACCATTGGTAGAATTTATTCCATATCTTGTAGTATTCTGTCTCACCTTTATTATTCAAATCCAATGTCAATCTGTCCATTTCAGCACAACTCTGGATGGTAATAGACTTGTTTTCCAAACAAGCCTACTTGTTAGCCTGCTCGAGCCTCCCATCTGTTCAGAGACTGGCCAAAATGTCCCTTCAGCATATCTACTAGCTACATGAAGTGCCAAATGTCGGACCAGGGGATCCAATTCACCACTTACTTTTGGAGAATTTATAAAGTTGATATGATCCTCCCAAGGGCTTAATTCAGTGTTTCATCCAAGCACAAACAGAATGGAACAAGCAAATGCAATGATAGAACAATACTTAAGATGCTATGTCAACTACCAGCAGTCTAACTGGGCAGACCTCCTGCCATATGCTGAAGTTGTATACAATAATGCAGTACATAACAACACAGGGCTCACCCCATTCAAAGTAGCCACGGGGGTAGAGTTTGTCCCAATGCCAGAATACCCTCAGGAACCACCTTCCTCAGTGAGTGGGTTAATTTTATTTTAATTTTTTTATATTTTTTATTTATACATTTTTCTTTAAAAATGTATTCAATGTATAAATATTCAATAAACAGTGTATTGTCTAGGTCAGTGGTTCCCAAACTTTTTCAGTCCACCGCCCCCTTGGTGCTACCAACTCATCCTTGGTGCCCCCCACCCAGGGGTGGAATTCAAATTTCTATGGGTGTGGCCTAATTTGAGGGTGCGGCTTGCTGGTCATGTGACTGGGTGGGTGTGGCTTGTTCATCATGTGACTGGGTGGGCATGGCTTGCTGGTCACGTGACTGGCTGGGCGTGGCTTGCTGGCTGGGCATGGCTTGGTGGTCACATGACTGGGTAGGTGTGGTTTGGTGGGCATGTGACTGGGTGGGCATGGCCAGGTGACTGGCAAACCAAATATAAGTGGCCCTCACTTAATGGCTGGTTGTTTAGCAAGTGTTCTAATTTATGATTGGCCTCCCCAGAGCTACTTGATCTGTTTTTATGAGTTTTGACAGCCATGCACACACATACACACACACACACCCTTCTAACCCTGCCGGAGCAGGTCATTGGACTAGAATCGGCAAAGCATCTCTGATTAGATTCTAGTAGTGAATAGAATCTAATCAGAGATGCTTTGCTTATTCTTGTTGATTTGTTTTATTTGTATTTCTTTATTTTATGTTGCTGAATTGCATTGACATATGTGTCCCTTCTTGTGTACAGCCCAGAAGCTTTTGTGATTCTTTGAAGCAAAAATTAACAACCTCTGGCTTTGCTCTACTTTTCAAACGTGCTGCCACTGCCGCGTTCTAGGTGCTGGCCCCGCAGGTCCACCCCATTGAGCCCGCTGCACTGGAGGGACCTGCCCAAACAAGTCTGAGCGGAGCGGTGCACCAAGTCAATGGGGTGAATCTGAGAGAGGGAAAGCGAGAGAGAGAAAAGAAAGAGAGAAGGAAAGAGAGAAGGAAGAAAAGAAAGAGAAAAGGGAAAGAAAAGAAAAGAAAAGAAAAGAAAAGAAAAGAAAAGAAAAGAAAAGAAAGAAAGAAAGAAAGAAAGAAAGAAAGAAAGAAAGAAAGAAAGAGGGGGGATGAAAGGAAGGGACAGAAAGAAAAATAAAGAAGGAAGGAGGGAGGGAGGAGAAAGATAATGAGATATCTATTTTAGTCCAATCACCTGCTCCAGAAGGGAGTGTGCGTGTGTTCTCCCTGTAATTTACTAGTACATTTTGGTTTTGCCTTCTTCAGAATTGGCACTGTAATACATTGGGGAAAAGTAATTTTTTAGGGTGGAGGTCTGGTCCAATGGATCCTGTTTAAAACCTCAACAAAATGTGAGAGCTTCCTGATAGTCTCTTGATCATGTTTCATCCACAAAACTTTTAATAGAAGCCAAAAGTGTTTCAATGTGCTAGCAAAGATGTTTCAATGTGGAAAATGGCTTCAGTCTAAACTAGGCCTCATTTCAATCAGATGCATCAGCTCGCTCTCTCTCTCTCTCTCTCTCTCT